TGGCCCCAATCACTTCTTAGAATATGTGGCATCCAAGATGCACTCCTTGGTTCTCAGATATTCTTTTCATACAGAATACATTACGTTTAGGTTAGAGGTGATTCCTTTCACCATATTTTGGGGATCAGGAAAACCTCTTGGACCAGTTTTCTTTTTTCTTTTTCTTTTATTTTTAACAACAAACGTAAACAAACAAAAACACAAAACAACAAAATCTTCTTTCAGTTGTACAGTCTGTTGGTACATATTTCTTGTGTACAATATCAATAGTCTTTCCCTTTTAGATTTATATTCATATTAATCAGCTTTCTTTGTCATGTTATATTCTTATTACATCATCATTAGACTAATTGCAAATTCACATTATCCTTTTCGAGCAAATCTCAATTTTTACAAGTTCTAATTCATATTATAATTCCTTCCATAATAGCCAATTATAACATATCATTACCATTGTATTATATTTACTATTGTATTATATTTCTATTATAATATATTTCATTTTCCTATTTTTCTATCTAACCATTGATAAAATCAATCCCATATTTTATAATATTCTTTTTCTTCTTGCTCTCTAATTGCCAATGTCAATCTACTCATCTCTGCACATTCCATTATTTTCTTTATCACCTCCTCTTCTATCGGAATTTTTTTCATTTTTCCAGTTTTGGGCAAATACAATTCTAGCTGCTGTTAAAACATTAATAATCAAATATATCAATTCTCTACTGTATCCTTCAGTTAAGATACCCAATAAAAATATCTCTAGTTTCAAGTCTTGTATGCCGTTTTGTCATTTTTTCAAGCCATGTATGAATTTTAGTTCAGTATCTTTTCTTCCACACATATTGGACCAGTTTTCAAGGTTAAAAAAAAACAGCACACCTTTATTTAGAACAAATGTGATTGAGTGGATCATTTCTTGTGATAATGTTAATTTTTCGACTAGAGAAGGGTGACTTAAGCATATTCCCTCAATGCATGTACATTGCCTGGTATGGTAGGGGATTTTGGTCTATGGCAGTGATGGCTAACCTTTTCAGCACAGAGTGCCAAAAGCGCACATGCGTGCACGTCCCCAAAGTTCAATGCACATGCACACATGGACCTCATCCCCAGTGCATCTGCTCTGGCCCTGTGCATACACGTGTGTCCCCGCACATGCACCCTGCGCATGTGCCCCTCTGACGCATGCACAGCAGACCTGAAGAATAGCTGGTGGCAAAGCTGAGCTGGGGTGACGGCTTGCATGCCCACAGAGAGAATTCTGCATGCCACCTGTGGCACA